TAATTTAAGTAGCTTAGATGCCATCACCAATCGTATGGAATAAAGTCAGCCGAAAATTCGAAAATCCAAATATTAGTTATATGGAAGCAAGGTGAAGTTTTTACCCAATTTGACTCACATATTGGTCGATATATGTCTGATAAAGTCACCCGGAAGTTTGAAAATCTTTATATTATGTATATGGAGTCTTAAGGAAGTATTGACCCGATTCAACCCATTTTTGACATACAGACATACTAGTATCAGAAAATGATGCTCTATAAATTTCTGACACATTGACCAATATTTTCAATAAAAAAACAACATAGGTACTAGGATCCACATATTCGGTACTTACGAGCTTGAACAGTTTTCGTTGTAATTGCACAATTTTTGGTCATTAGATGGCATACTTTAAAGGCACTATTCGTGCAATGTTTTATAACGTTATATTAATTGCTTCTTGATTTGTATACCGGAGAGTGAAGGAAAGGTAGGCGTGTTTGTAGTCCGATATTGCCCATTTTTGTACTGTAACATAGAAATGTCAGAAGAATGTTATTTACCAAATTTAGTTAAATTGGTCAAGTAAGTCCAAAGATATTGGTTTTCATCTAAAGATGGGCGATGCCACGCCCATTGCTAAATTTTTGTATTGGCTGCTATAAAGCTAATATGTACCATCCTATGTTTAAATTCGTATTTAATGAGTTATCGTACTTTTAGTAGTTTTAATCAAAATCGTTATATGGGGAGTGGGTGGGGTTATTACCCGATTTCACCCATTTTCACAATGTCGGTAGAAGTGCTAAAAAGATTTGTCTTGAGTGAATTTGGTTATTTTAGCTATAGTGATTTAGGAGATATTTACCTTAAGCCTATTATAGGATGGAGCCACGCCCACTTTTATACAAATTTTTAAGCTAAAGCTGCCCTTCCTTAATGCGATTTGTTGTAACAGTCTTGTATCTAGTTATGGATCTTAGTTATGGTAATTTATTAATTTTCGATTAAAGGCGTTTTGGGGATGTGGCAGTCGTCCGCTTATGCCCATCTACAATACCGACAGCCTTACGGTGCCAAGAAACATGTGTGCCAAGTTTCATCAAGATTTGTCGCGAAAGGCGAAGGATCGTAACAGTTCGCTGCTACGCAATTTAGCATTCTTTTTAATTTTGAAACTCTTTTCATGGTTGCAATAGCGCTCGGTTTCAAATGAATATATACGATATGTTCGGAAATTTGAATTTCGTTTTTTTTTGTTTGTATGTGGCATATTAATATGCATAGAATAATAGAAACATTTTGAAAAAAATAAAGTTAATACACTCAAAAGTATTTAACATTTTTAATAACATTTGGCAGTATTAAATATAATGATATATAAAGGGTTTTCCAATAAGAGTGATACGATTAAAAAAAAAATAAACACACTAATTGTTAAGGAAATGCTTTTTGTTTAATGTGAAGTACAATCAATACAATTAAGTTTTGAATATAACATCATTCAAATGGCCGCCACGACTTCTTTTGCAGGAACGAATTCGATGAACGCAATTTTCGAGTACTTTTTGCACAAAATCAAGCCGTATGTGATGAATAGCACATTCAATATTGCTATCTAAGGCTTGAAGAGAGTCTGGTTTATTGCTAAAGACCGATGACTTTAAATAACCTCACAAGAAGTAGTCGAATGGTGTTAAATCACAACTTCTTAGAAGACATTCAATGTCAGAATTTCTTGAAATTATCGAATCTCCAAACTTTTCTCGCAATAATTCGGTTGTTGCACGTGCTGTGCGGGACGTAGCGCCGTCTTGTTATAACCACATATTGTCAAGATCAACTTTCTTCCAATTACGACCAGAAAAAGTTGGTTATCATCGATATATACCATTGACAGTAACGGTGTCACCAGCTTCATTTCGAAAGAAGTCCAGACCGATGATTCCACCAGACTAAAAACCACACCTAACTGTCAATTAAGGTAAAAAGGTTGTTCATAAATAATTTGTGTATTTTCTTCGCACCAGAATCGACAGTTCTGCACCACTCAAATAAAAATGAGCTTCATCGAGGAGGATGGTTTTCTTAAGAAAATCATTACCGTTTTCAAGTTGTTCCAATGCAAAATCTGCAAATTCAAGACGTTTACGGAGGTTTAATGCTTGAGTGAGAACAATATTAAACGGATGCAAGCCCAAATACTTTCTTCAAATCCGCCAGGTTGTGGTTTGAGACAGTCCCAATTCTTGAGAACGTCTTAAAATCGACAAACTGCGGTCTTCTGCAAAATTTTCTGTCTTATTGGCACTTGAAAATTATGTAACATAAAGAAAATGTACGCTCGAAATTTTCAACAATTCGACGAATAGTGTGCACAGGTGGACGATTATTACGACAATAAAATAGCAAAAGCGCACGACTATGGACTGGAGAACGACTATTTTGATAATAAAATTGAATAATTTGTAAACGTTGTTCTGGCGTATCACTCTCCACAATGAAATTGAAGCTTTACTGAATACAATAAAAAAAATTACAGATTATATATTATATAGAAATCATATCATCCTTATTGGAAACCCCTTAACATATATAAATGAATTCTAATAAAATGAAAAATAATAATATATTAAGACGCTTTCATATTTATTTCTTTTAACCACAAATGATTTGGTTCGAATATTATTTTACAAGTTATTTAAAACAAGAAATGTAATTAATTCAAGAAAGTTTTGTAATAAATACAAAAAAAAATTGGAGTAAAAAAAATACGGGTTTATAATAATTCCCGATAGATTAGAAATTGTCGTCACACATTCGACCTTGAAAATGTTAATAGCGGGTATTCTAAATATTGATCTACCACTTTCATAGTAATTCTTTGTAAGCAAAATATGAGACACCATACCAACATACAAATGAACTAAGCAATACACTCCAAGTGTGGCGTATCCGAACCGCACAAACATTTGCGAAAATTTTATGGAAAGAAATGACAGTAAAACTCGACACGAGTTAGTGCATTTTTACACAGGGACTCTTTTGAGTCTCAAACCAGTTTATTGTGGGCGAGGGGACGACGAGGAAAGACGAAGGGACCGTGCCACTCGTGTTCGGGTGAATTTTTAATACGGAGTAAAGAAATTATGATTTTTTAATACTTAAAGATTAGGAAATTCCTATTATAAATTTGGCCTTGAAAATATTAGTAGCGGATATTCAATACATTCTTGTGGATTAGGGAATTCCCGTCTTTAGTATTTCTTTGAAACTATTTAGCAGGTAGCTACTTGTATTATGCATATTGTTCTACCATATTCATGGTAATTCATTGCAAGCAAAATGTGTGACCATCATCTCAACATACAAATGAAATACGCAGCACGCAGTGTTGCGCAGTCGAACCGCACAAATATTTATGAAAATTTTGTGAAAAGGAATGCAGAAAAACTAGACTTGAGTTGCTGGACTCTTTTTGACCGTGTGAATGCCCAGAGCGACACCAAAAGAAAATTTGAAAAAACTCAGACTCTTTTGAATCCCTGTGTGAAAGTGCACTTACTGGACCTTTTCGCTCGTGTGAACGCACAGAACAACACCAAAAGAGAATTTGCCGATAAAATACAAAAATATAACACTATTGCGCATACGTCAAAAGGCATGTCAGCGCAGGGTTGCAGCACAAGTGCTGCCCATCTTCTTGAGCATCTGGTATAGTTTGTTCGATTCGAAGACAGCTAATCTTACACGTAATGTAACTTGGCGCCGAAAATATATGACTTAACCCTCCACGCTTTATATAGCGAGTCCCCCGATATCCGTTTGTAACCCTATCGTCGATATTTGAGATAACAGATAACTTAGAGAAACTGTATGTGCATATCACTTGCGCCATAAGATCATTTGGTATCAAAATTTACCCTACCTTCGGAACAATATAAAATAAATTGATTTCCAACACTAAACATGCTTTTCACAACAATAAATCGATATTTATTACACTTTATGATTTATATTACTTACTATAGTATGTGAGAACATTATACTACTTACTATCCCTATAAAAACTATGCGAGCAATATTTTCCATAAAGTACACTATCTTAATTAAGTACAAATTAGTTGTTTTGGGTATAGTTGAAAATAGATGAGTTAAATCTTTGTTTACATTTCTATTCAATGCCACCATATACAAGCAATTAACCTTTGGTGCGATTTTTTCGGGTAGAAAAGGATAGACTCTTCATAGAATATGCACACACAAAAAGGAATAGTTCGTTCCTTATAATAAGATCAGAATTCAGTAGCCACATGTTCCTTTGCGACTAATCGCGAATTCATTCCGGCCAGGAATGAGATCTTATACACGTATTTTAGGTTCTTAATACCTAACATAACCCTTCCTTATTTCTTTTAATGAAATATTTCGTAACTCTTACAGCCATACTATGAGAGTACTACTTTCTTCAGTTCTTGTTTTGGCAGTTATAGGGCTTGCAATAACAATAGATTAGTGCTGTTATATATCTGTAAAAATATGGCAATTCTAAGAAAAGTGAAGAAATTTTTAAAATATTTTTACAAATAACACATTTTATTCCATGAAAAATGTAGTTGTTAAGGCCAAGAAAATTTTCGTCGCAGGATTTGAAGTAAAAACAATGTAACTACGTGCACATTCGCCTCATTCCGTACACTTGTATGTATGTATATGTGTATGATAGTTATGCGGCACGTGACTATGCTTCATCTCACGCATAAGGGTGCAACAAGTTGCCGCTTTTAGCAGCGATTATTCAGTTGGCTTTGCTCAGTTGTTGACATTTTTCAATTCAATCACGTTGGTACAATCTAATTGCGAATAAGTATGATTAGCGTATCACACACCAATTTAGCTATGTTTTCGAAAGAGCTCAACACGTACTAAGCTTATATTTCCACCAGCAACTGACCATTCTGCTGTCCAAAAATACTGTTATGTATGTACATATGTATTAAAATGCTTTAAGAACTTACGCTGGTCTGCAAAGTCACAAGCCTTTAAAGCACAACACTATTTAATAACTTTGAAAATTTTAATTTCTTTGATAGAAAGTTTTTGTTTTGCATCTTCACACAATTCAAGCCACTTTTACGCGCTCACCACAATTCATAGCAAACTGTATGAAAAGCAAGCAACGACTGAGCAACATGGCGCAAAAATAAACAACAGTTGCAACGACCAATCCATACAACCGATCCATCAAACTGGTCGCAAACGAACATTTCTGCGCGCGTCCAGTGCTGCAGAGAGCGTGTGCCTAAGCACAGGAAATGCAGTGTTGTTGACAATGGCCCCATTGGACGCGGTGGTGGCGGCGAGGTGGCGAGGTAGCGAATGGCGCGACAGTAAGCGCTTCCGGCGATTAGTTGGTTCAAACAGGTTCACACCGGCATTTGCATACATCAACTACCACGCTTATATATATGCATATATGTTTGCGCGTGTGTTTTGCCTTTGCGTGCTCTGTGGATGTTAGAAAAAGAGTCCTCGCTGCGGGCGTTCTGCATTGCCTCGGGTTATGCGTTGAATGGAATTTTAATACAAATACATTTAGCTATAAACTCACAGTCACCTATACACATATATATTTATATAGCACTCTATATACAATATAAACATTTGGAAGGTATGCGTGCGCCGTTGGGATGAGGGGCAGAAGGTCTTGCGGGAAGACTGGAGGCGAAAAATGTTGCTTTGAAACTTGCTTCATTTAAATGTAGATTTTGGTGAAAAGATTTCGCAAGCACATACTGACAGGCGTACATACGTATGTGTATACAACAGTATTTTGGCAAGTAAAATACATACATACGTAAATATGTATTAATGTGCATAAAAATATCAATGAAGAGAATTTAAGTTTATATAATTAAATATATAAATATCAGCACTAGTAAATTAAATATGCAAAAAATATTTATGTATATATAGAAATATGTGTGTAGATGAGGTACTTTTTTCAATAGCCTTGTTTTCACAGATCACGCGTGGCATTTCATTATGACAAGAAGAAATTCAAGAACTGCCACTTCATCCAAAAAAACCAACGGTTTGGTGTACTTCATGGGCCGGTGGAATCATCTATATCTTCAAAAATGATGCTGGTGAGAACGTGACCTCAATAGCGACCGTTATCGCGACATTATAACCGACTATTTGATGCCTGAATTTGAAGCTCGTGATCTCGGCGACATTTGGTTTCAACAAGACGGCGCCACTTCCCAAACATCGCATTAATCATTTATTTATATATAATATTTATTAAGAGAACCCTTCGATCGTTGATTGACCACCAAGATCGTGGGATATCACACCGTTAGACTTTTTCCTGTGGGGATATGTAAAGTCTAAAGTCTATGCAGGCAATCCTGCTTCGATTCAGGCCTTGGAGCAAAATATCACGTGTGTCATTTGCCAGTTACCAGTCGAAATACTCAAACGAGTCATCGAAAATTGGACTCATGGACCATCTAAGACGTAGTCGCGGCCAACATTTGAAAGAGATAATCTTCAAAAAATAAATTCCAAAGAATGTCTTTTCGCATTATAATAAATTGTCCTTATTAAATTTGAATTTTCTGAGTTTTTTTCTTTAAAAAAGTAGGGAACTTTTTAATGGATCACTTTTTATATATATATACATATATATACTACAAAACTGAAGGTAGATAATGAAGTTTTAGAACCTAGATCGGATGAGAGAAAGAAAACGCGCGCGGATCAGCCAGCTCTCATATCAATTGCTGATTGTTTTTGTTATTATTGTAGTTGCAGTAAACATTTACCCACTTATTTTTAGAAATGTGGCCAATTGGCGTCCCTCTCGGGTAAAAACCCGGGTCCGATCGCGTTACGCAGACCCTACTATGATAGGAACGGTTCAAATGGGGGTATTGTGATACATTTAAAATCATAAATACAACAACAATAATATTTGTTTTTATTAAATTTTTTTTTACAATTTTAACATACACAATTTATTTTTATATATTTGTGTTTTTTTTTGGTATTTATTTTAGGGTTTGTTATACCCGAAGCAGGTTATATTAAGTTAAACCCACGAGGCACGTGGGATATATAAACTATCAGCATGACAAGTTGAATTGATATATGCATACACGCGTATTAGACCCTCAGTTTTTTAGATATATCTCAGAAACTTTGCAAACTTCCTTTTATCCCCGGAGCTGGAGCTGTTCGTTTGTCGGAACCGCCAATATCGGACCACTATAGCATATAGCTGCCATACAAACAGAAGGATCGAAATCAAGTGCTTGTATGAAAAACTTTTTCATTTAAAGAGATATCTTCACGAAATTTGACCAAATTATTTTTCGAAGCAACGCTATAATATATTGAGAAATTTTTTAGATCGGATCACTATAACATATACATACCTGACATACATACAGAACGATCAAAATCAAAATCAAGTTCTTGTATGGAAACTTCTTTGGATGTGAAGGGTATTCAAACTACGCTTCAAACGATGTCAACGTTTTTTCTTTTTTTGAATTTAAATGACTGATATTGAAAATTTTCTTAGTTTTAGTTTTAAACTTAATCAATTATACAAATATTTCGTTGAAATTATTTTAGACCATTTTTTAAGTCAACAACCGCTGAGAAACTCTGCTTTTGCAAGCAACAATTTCGAAAGGTGTATGGTATGTGTAGAGTTTGAAATGTGTGTAACTTCAAATGTCGGAACATAAATTCGAATGGTGCGACGTTGAGCGCTTATCAAAATGACAAAATCTGAATTATCGCCACTAACGGCAACAACGCAGCAACTTTGCCTGGTGCAACATCATAATTGCAACGGCAACTTACATACACAAACAAATACACATACACATACATAGGTGGTTTAGGCAAAGGCAACTGCAACAAATTGTTTCACTGCTGCAAGTGTGGCAAAATGTTCGCATTCCAACTCTAATGATTACATCTAAGACGAAGCGGCACTGCTGTTTAAAACAAAAACATCAACAACAACAACCAATTGCCATAAGCAACAGAGCAGCAACTGTCGATTTGCTTGCCACATTTGCCAGAATCAACAAACAGCACGGGACAAGCACGTATACATACACTCATATATATACTTACATACACTCACATACATACTCACTAATATTGGCACTTGTAAAAATTTACATAGAAAATAGAGAATCGCCAGCAGCAATAAAATCGGCCACAATCAGCAGCACACACCGACGCAACACACACAAGCACACACCACAACATAAGCACAGTTACAACAAGAGCAGCAACATTAACAACACAATACCACTACGACTGTGGAATCATCGGTCAGTTGCATGCAGCAGATCGCCTGCGTCACCGCACAGGGCACTGGTAATATTCACCTCAACCAACCAACCTCCCCCTTCCCTAGTGGTGCAGTTAGTTGTACGCCGGCATAAACAAACAAACAAACAAGAAACTAAGCTATGACACCACACCCCAGCGTAGCCAGCACATCAGCGCGCTGAGCTGCGCTGACGTAACCCAGCGCGCCTCACCACAACTTATCGCAAAGAACACAGCAAACCGCAGCGGTCCCAATCTCAGACGTAGCCGTAGATTCTGCTCCAGCGCACCAGCGCCATCGCTGTCGCTTGGTTGGTTGTCTGCGCCAAATCCGCTCGCACCTTCCGCTCGCAGAGCCAGCCATCCAGCGCCTTGCCTCGCCTTGTGGCGCCCGCGGGCCTTTCGCTCGTAATTATAATATTTCATCCCAAATGTGACCGCCGGCACTGCACCAATGATGGATTTCAACTTTTGAAAATAATACACGGAGCCACTGCCAACCATCAACGCCACAGCCACAGTCACAGCGGATGCCAACATGGATGTGTTTATACATATTGTATATGTATATACATATGAATATGTATGTACATAAATGTGTTGACAGTTTTGGCAGCTAGTGGTGTGTGTGTGAGAGTTTGGGTGTGAGTGTGGCATTGTTCGGCGCACAGTTCGCCGCTGCTGTAGTCACCGCCGGCGATACCATGGTTGACCTCGGGCAGCACAAGTGCTGATTATGAATAAAAATTTCATGTTGTGCTCCCATTCTCCTCGCTCTCTAACCCTGCTACGTTCTTCCACATTCATCGCACGCTGCGGGGCTTGCTGACTATATTCAGCGCATTCTTTTTTCTTCTGCTTTTTCTATTCGCATGTCTGCTGTTTTGTTGTATTGTTGTGATTACTTTATTGTATATTTCTTCATATTCTACTATACGTATATATTTATGCATGTGTATGCTAGAATACAGTATAACCCTATAATATATAATATTTTGCGAGAATTAATGGCCAATTCCTATAGAACTTTTGCTTCGCTTCGCGTCAGACATTTCTTTTGGCAAAGTTCTATGTGCGCTTTTGAATGAGTACGTTCATATAAAAAATTTTCAACGCGAAGCCAGCAAATTGTTGGGCAACTCGCATCTTTTCACGCTTTGCCAAGCAATAGTCACCATTTCTATTAGAGATTGTGGCATACCCTTTGTTTTCTGCGCTTCGTTGTTTCAGTATGATCTGTCACGCAAAGTGAGGAAAGTTGTATGTGAATGGGCCTTTAAGCTGTGCAACCAGTGTAAACATTGAATCGAACAGTTTAACAGATGAGTAAGTAATGGTCAATTAGATGTTCTCACTCGTTTTGAAATTTAACGGTGAAATATTTTCTCAAACTGTATGAATTTATAATTACCCGAAAACAAAGAGAGCTGGTTCCTCAAATTTTCTCTGGTTCACAATTAAACACATAAGTAATTCAAAAGCCAGTCTTCTTCAGTTCCCAAGTAATGTTATTTTCTGCAGTGATTTTTCTGGAAATAGACCAAAAGTATGAGAAAAAGACAAAGTATTTTTTTGCAAAGGCGGTAGATATTTGAAAAACAACTATTCTAGTTCTTTTCTTTTTTTTTCTTTAGCATATATTTTAAGCTACGGCAAGTTAAATATTCAACATAAGAAACTTGTTTCTATAGGTTTCTTGATTTGTTTAAATGGCGAAAGTATGTATTTATTGTCGCTCTAAGTTTAATATATTTGTTCTCCTAACGGTTATTTTAACACAAGTTAATTTTGGTTTAATATATAAGTATAGTAAAATGTTCAGAATCATGAGACAAATTTCCATCTTTCCGCACAAGCGATCACTTATGTAAAAAAACTAAGCTACAAACTCTATTAGAAATTTC